TGCGTAGCGAGGAGGGTGGGGTATAAATTGAATAATAAATAAATAATGACTGAATTTTAGACATTGCAACACACATATTTCCAACAACATCATCATGTTGGCGATGTCAGGGGTGATGCTCTACTTTCTGGGCAAAACTCTGCCGTTTGTGGCTGTTTTTACCATAGAGTTTTGCTCAAAAAGTAGAGCGTTGCCCTGCTGCTGTGATGACATCACTTCCTGAAGTGATGTTGGCGCGTCGGCAACATCCCCACCCACCCCTGGAATGCCCCCCAAATCCCCCCACCAGCAGGAGGAACAAGGAACCTGGCAACTCTAGTTTGATTCCCAACTCCTCCACATGAGGCCTGCTGGGTGACCTGGGGCCAGTCACAGTTTATCTCCCAGAACTCTCTCAGCCCCACCTACCTCATCAGGGGCCTGTTGTGGGAAGAGGAAGGGAAGGCGGTTGTAAGCTGCTTTGAGATTCCTTAAGGTAGAGAAAATGGGATAGATGAACCAACCCTTCCTCTTCTTCATAACGGGATTACACTGATATTTCTTTATCTAACACTACTCCAGTCTTCAGTCCAAAAACTCTTTTAACTAGATTGTACCCTAAGCATTTACAAAATGATTTCCATGGTTTATTTATTTATTTTTACTTTATTTTTATCCTGCCCTCCCCCACAAGCGGGCTCAGGGCAGGTGGGGGCACTCTAAAAGTGTGTATTAAAGACCAAGTTTTCCTCCAATTTAGCAGTTCGAAAGCAAGAAATTGCAAGTAGATAAATAGGTACCACCACTTCGGTGGGAAGGTAACAGCGTTCCATGCGCCTTTGTGTTTAGTCATGCCGGCCACATGACCACGGAAACGTCTTCGGACAGCGCTGGCTCTTCGGCTTTGAAATGGAGATGAGCACCACAACCCTAGAGTCGGACTCGACTGGCTTTCGAGCAAGGGAACCTTTACCTTTTACCCTACAGGTGGGGGCTGGAAACCTCCCAGAATTATAACTGATTTCTAGACTACAGAGATCCCTTCTTCCTCTGGAGAAAGTGGCTGCTTTGGAGGGTGGGCTCCATGGCATTGTGCCCCGCTGAGGCCCCTCCCCCTTCCCAAGCCCCACCTTCCCCAGACTCCACCCTCCAAATATCCAGGTATTTCCCAAGTAACCCTAATTTAAAAATCTAAAAACATATATCTATATCTCTCACTGTGCTCAGTGATCAACCGTTTCCCCTGAAGCCATGATACTGCAAAATAATATAAATAGACATGAATGGAGTATTTTATATACTTAATTCATACCCCACTTTCCTTCCCAATGGGGACCCAAATTGGCTTACATCGTTCTTCTCACCTCCATTTTATCCTCATAACAACCCTGCAAGGTTGGTTAGGCCGAGAGTGTGTGACTGGCCCAAGGTCACCCAGCGAGCTTCCATGGCAGAGCAGAGATTCAAACCTCCATCAGAGTCTAGTCTAACAGACTAACCACTATAAGGAGGAGAAGAAGAAATTAGATTTATACCCCGCCCTTCACTCAGAGTCTCAGAGTGGTTTACAATCCCTTTCCTTTCCCCTCCCCGCAACAGACACCCTGTGAGGTAGGTGGAGCTGAGAGAGTTCTGACAGAAACTGCCCTTTTGAAGGACAGCTCTGACAGAACTATGGCTTGCCCAAGGTCATCCAGCAGCTGCAAGTGGAGAAACAAACCCAGTTCTCCCAGATTAGAGTCCGTGCACTTAACCACTGCACCACATTGGCTTTCACAAACTGTCAGATAGTACTTGTAAGAACAGTGATACACTAAAAGATTGTTTAGTATTGATCCCTGTTATGACATTTATCTCGGCTTTTCTTCCGACTTCCTTCCCCTTTGAGTGCCACGCAAGCCATTGTCTCAGGATGGTGGAAGTTTCAGATTCCCTAAGATGAACGTAATTGCCTTTTGTTTCTAAAATATTTGGTGGTAGATAACTGTTCTGCAAAAATCATGACCTCTCAATTATCAGTGCGGTTTTCTTTTGGGTCTGTCAAGTTGATAAGGATTTTGTTACAACATCCTGTGAAGGTAAGTTTGGTTTAAATCCCCAGAGCAGACTTACTTCCATCTTACACTGTTGGAGATTGTATACGAGATAAACCAAGCCCAGAATAAGTGTGGGTTCCTTTCAGCCCTGTCTTCTAGGCATTCAAGTGTTACCCACTTAACATTTTTGGACTTGATAAGCATAGTTTGCTTGAGGCAAGACAGAAACTTTTGTGAGAGCTACAATTTCCCACAAGGATAACATATTAGCAGGGTGAGTAATATTTCAAGGAGTAATCAAAAGTTCATTAACTGTTCGAATATACTCGTTCTGCAGAAACTGTGATGCTTTTGTTTTGTCTATTTCTGTTTGTTGCCTAGGAATGCTTGTTCTGTATTTCTTTTGATTCACGGGGTTGCCCACTACAGGTTGGGAAATTCCTGGAGATTTGTGGGTAGAGCTTGGGGAGGACCCCCAGTTCTGTGAAGCTCACCCTCCAAAGCAGCCATTTCCTTCCGGGGAACTGATCTCTAAGAACATAAGAGAAGCCAATGTTGGATCAGGCCTGGTTTGTTCCAGAGTGTGCTTCATTTAGGGTTGCCAACCTCCATGGAAAGTGGACTCCATGGCATTATACCCCACTGAAGTCCCTCCCCTCCCAAACCCCTCCCTCTTCAGGCTCCACCCCCAAATCTCCAGGTATTTCCCAACCTGGAGCTGGTAACCCTGTTTATCACAGGACATTAAACCAAAGATAAACTGGGAACCCCTAGTTGCTACTGCAGAGACTTCAGACAGATTCATATCTTTAAACTGAACTAACTTAGAAACTACATGCATTGATCATTCTACTATATAATTTTAAAACTTTCTAGTATAGTATTTTGTGGCTAAGCTCCAAAACTGATAATAAACCTTTGGTCAGTATTGCCAAGAGGAACTTGGTAGCTATGTTTCCATGACTGTCTACAACATGGTTTTTCCTCTCCTCAACTAGATGATAAATTACACTATGGAAGGAACAGAACAAAGTTTGAGTCCAGTGGCACCTTTAAGTGACCAACAAAGTTTAATTCTGGGTATAAGCTTTCATGTGCATGCATGCTTCTGTGCATGCACGAAAGCTTACACTCAGAATTAAACTTTGTTGGACTTAGAGGTGCCACTGGACTCAAACTTTGTTCTAATCAGATAGATGAAGATGGGTAGCCACAGGGGAATTTTTGAGCAGGAATCACAGGAATGGAGTTCCGGCTGGCTTCAGAGTTGGCCACGCCCACTACAGCCAAAACCGCTGCGTGCCTAGCTACAGAGGGTAGAAGGCAACCCCCCCCCCCCGCTATTCTGAGGCATTTAAATGCCTCCCCATACCTTCCCCAGCCTGTCCGAGGGCCGGCTTGCCTGGGTGCCCCACAGTCACGGGGCGCCCGGGCAAGCCAAGGGAAGGTATGGGGTGTGGCCTAATATGCTAATATCCTGCACTGTCAGGGGTGTGGCCTAATATGCTAATGAGTTTTGCTGTTGGGCGTGGTCCATCATGCTAATGAGTTCCTGCTGGGCTTTTTCTACAAAAAAAGTCCTGGGTAGCCATGTTAGTCTGTAGTAGACGCCTATTACCCCTCTGCATATCTTACCTAAATCCCATCACACCTGCTATTGTCATTCACCTGTTATTATCATTTGCTTGCTAATGTCATTCGGCATCTGAAATCTCTCGTTTCCACTAAGTAGGACAGATGGATTCCCATTCTAGCTGTATCTGAAGAAGTGAGCAGTGACTCACAAAAACTCATAACCTGCCACCTATTTTCAGGTGGGTAGCTGTGATGGTCTGAAACAGCAGAACAAAGTTCGAATCCAGTGGCACCTTTAAGCCCTACAAAGTTTAATTCAAGGTATAAGCTTTCGTGTATAAGCACACTTCCTCAGATTCTTTGTTATCTGTAGAAGTGTGCTTGCACACGAAAGCTTATACCTTGAATTAAACTTTGTTGCTCTTAAAGGTTCCACTGGACTCAGACTTTGTACTGCCACATATTTTGTTAGTCTTTAAGGTGCCACTGGATTCTTGCTTTGTTCTGTTTCATCACACCAACACAGTTACCCACCTGAAACTATGGAAGGAATGTGTGTTTACTGCAAAGGCTTTCCTGGCTGGGAAGCATTTGATTGTAAGAACCAAGTGTAATTGGAGGAAAAGGTAAAGGTTCCCTTGCTCGAAAGCCAGTCGAGTTCGACTCTAGGGTTGCGGTGCTCATCTCCGTTTCAAAGCCGAAGAGCCAACGCTGTCCGAAGACGTTTCCGTGGTCATGTGGCCGGCATGACTAAACACCAAGGCGCATGGAACGCTGTTACCTTCCCACCGAAGTGGTGGTACCTATTTATCTACTTGCAATTTCTTGCTTTCGAACTGCTAAATTGGAGGAAAACTTGGTCTTTAATACACACTTTTAGAGTGCCCCCACCCCCGGAAGGGTATTTAGGTGGCCAGGAATTAAGCCAGGAATATTGTGATTCTCTTCTTTGTTGTTGCTCACTATATATTTATAACACTGGTTAGATGATGCTAGGTCCTCTTGGACAGGCACTTTATGACTTTAATTTTGTCTTGTGTATTTCATACTGTGCAAAGTTTCTCTAGACGTTTAGACGGAAAAGGGGGAAACGTTTTTAGAAACCAAGCAAGAGAGCGGGGGAAAAAAAATACTTAGGGTCCTGAAGAGCCTGAATTCTCGCGTGTAACAAAAGTACATCCTTCAGGGGGTTGCTTCAAAGGCTTTCTACAGATATTTCCCGTCGTCGCCCGAAGTTCAGAAGTCCTCCCCCACAAAGCAATGGCCGCGCACAGAATCCCCCACAGACCAATGGCTTCCTATATCCCTTCTAGCACCCGGCCTTTTCGTCTATGGTATATTTGGCGGGGAGAGAGAAAAACTAGGCCACCTGATTGCGCACGCGCAGTTGCTCCTTTTGGTGCTCCGGCTCCACATTGGCGGAAGGGCGAACGGAGGGAACCATAGAGCGAAAGATGAGGACGGCGGCAAGAGAAGAATTAGGTACCGTTCTCTGGAAGGGATGTGCAAAGGGGTGGGCTGAATGGAGTCCCGCTCAGTAGTGAAGGAGAGGAGTGAGGGATGGGGGTTCGACTGAGAAAGGGGGAGCGGGTGTCCTAATCATCCTTCTTCTGCACACCCCGGAAAGGGGATGGTTTGTCCCAGTAAGCTTACGGTATCCTAGGAGTCGGACAAACCATCTTGAAGGGTGGGGGGAAAGAGGCAGCTTTGCCCCTGCCCCGCATCTCCCGCACAGCTTGCAGAATGGGCTGCATTCTGTGCTTGCAGCGGCTGAAAACGGCGGATGCGCGCGTGTATTAGGACTCCTGGATGTACAGTATTGCGTCCCTGGTTAAAGTTGCGCTGTGTAAACGGAGAACGAACATATGTGTTTGACAGATGCATATATTTGCAAAAAAAATGATGCATATTTCAAGACGGTGCAGTTGTCGAATAAATCCAGCTGAGTTTTTAATGTTGGTGACTGAGGCTTCCTTTTCTTTAAACGATTGCGTGGCGAAAGGGAATGGGAGATTTACGGTGGTGACTGAAGACTGGGAGTTGACGGTCGGTGGCTGCTTGCTTTCAAACCCATGCATCGACAGGTCACTGGATGTCAGGCTAGCGTTGCACGAGAGCAATTATTCGCAACTGAAAAGTCTTGCGTGCATAGGATCGCAGCCACAGATGAAGGAGGAGGCAGGGGAGGAGGAGATTTGCATATTTTATTTTGGCGTCTTGGCTGGCTTGTGCGAATGCTGCCTCTGTAGGCACAGTTTCTGGGAACTGCTTTGAAGCGTAGGGAGAGCAAAGAGGACACCCGAGGCGACAGTGGTCTTGCTCCTCAGTTGTGATGTGCCAACTCCCCTCTTCCACTTCAGTGATGTGAATGGCTGCTGCTAAATCTACACAGGTTTCTCTGGGGTTCTGACCTCTCAGAGGAGGAAATAGGGCGGGACACCCAACTGCTAAACCTAAAGCACACTTTGGAAATGAGATCCGTGTGCATTATTTGCATGCAAGAACACTTAGCCAATGTTCCCTCTAAGCCGTGGAGTCTTGTGAGCAAAAATTCTACTTTGTGAGCTACTGGCATTAAAGTTGTGAGCCAGTGATTTGGCTACTACATAGTTTGCTCTGGAGCCATCCTTCCTGAGCTAAGACAAAAACGTGTGAGCTGGAGGCTAAAAAATGGTGAGCTAGCTCACACTAACTCAGCTTAGAGGGAACACTGCATTAGAACTACAATGTCATCTAGCTGTCATTCCTCTGACTGGATCTTTCAGTCTTGCATGGAAGGGTGGTGTGGTAGAATTGTACTCTGGACAGACAGTGGTGGGACATGAAGTTAGGCAAACCTGTTAAACAGTCTGAAATATGCAATATGGGGGGGGGGAGCCCAAATGATCAGCTTTCATTTGGAAAGTAAACCACATTGCTCATAAATCCACTTGCAAGCAAACTCCATTGGCAGTCTTTCTCTTTGACAACCATGGTAGTGGGAAGTGGAACTTTCTATAATAGGCTGCATTCTTGTATTTGTACGCCTAATTTGCTGCTATTCTGCTTTAATCCAGTCTAAGCTATATTTATCACCCAATGTTAGCTAAATTTACGTATCCATCTTGACTCTAACTAGCCACTCCTGGCAGCTAGACTGTCAGCTTTTGGGCAGTGAGGATCTGAACCCCCCCCCCCCCCCCCCCCCCCTACCCCCCCCCCCCCCCCCGTTTATGGAACTGTGGAATGTACCATATACACTCTTTGGTAGTGATGTCATATCACGAAATACTTCTCTAACACAAACCATTGGTAAAGGCACATAATCAGGTGTTGTGTGTGGATTTAAGCATTCTTTCACGGAGGATTTAGATGATCCTCTAGGGCTGTGGCTCAGTGGAAGAGCCTCTGTTTTGCATGCTGAAGGTCCCAGGTTCAATCCCTGGCAATTCCAGTTAAAAAGGACCCTGCAATAGGTGATGGGAAAGACCTCTGCCTGAGACCCTGGACAGCTGCTGCCAGTCTGAGTAGGCAATTCTGGCCTTGATGGACTGATGAGAGCCAGTTTGGTGTAGTGGTTAAGTGTGCGGACTCTAATCTGGGAGAATGATGTTTGATTCCCCACTCCTCCACTTGCAGCTGCTGGATGACCTTGGGCAAGCCATAGTTCTGTCAGAGCTGTCCTTGAAAGAGCAGTTTCTGTCAGAGTTCTCTCAGCCCCACCTACCTGACAGGGTGTCTGCTGTGGGGAGGGGAAGGGAAAGGAGTTTGTAAGCCGCTCTGAGACTCCAAGTGAAGGGCGGTGTATCAATCTCTTCTTCTTCCTCTTCCTCTTCTTCTTCTGATTGAGTGTAGCCAGACGTTGGGAAACAGTCAGCAGTAGAAGGCTGGTTGTCCCGTTTGGGGGTCTTGCCTTTAGCATCTGACTGACTACTCTTGGAAACCAGATGTTGAACTAGAGGGACAGGGTTCCCAAGCTCCAGGTAATGGCTGGAGACCTCCTGGGATTACAACTGATCTGCAAGCGACACAGATCAGTTCACCTTGGGGATATGGCAGTTTTGGAAGTCCCTCCCCTCCCCAAACCCCACAATCCCCAGGCTCCACCCCAAAAATCCTGAGGTTTTTCCCAACCCAGAGCCACCACCTGGGAGCTGGCAACCCTAGGAGAGTGGTGGGATTAGATACGGAAAGTAAGTCTTGAACATATTGAGGTGAGGATGCCGGAGCCAAGCAGAAATGCCTTAGAAATAATCTGATGCTAATTTCTTCTCTGTCTTTCCCTCACGGTTTAACCCTGTAATTTGTAATTTACATATAGAATGATCCCAGTTTGTTTACAAGATCGCAGTGTATCAGTGTGTTTCAGTTTATTTATTTATACATTAGATTTGTGAATCGCCCAATCCCTGAGTACACAGGGCTCTGTGCGATGTGCAACAAAGTTAAAAACATTAATTTGGCATTGTTAAAACCAGTAAATCATTTGTTCCTATGTTATTAATTAATTAATTATTTATTTATTACTTTCGATTTGTATCCCCCCTTGCCATGACGAGCTGGCTCAAGGCGGCGTACAGTAGTTAAAATATGATAAAGCAATAAATACAATAAAATTCACAAACAACAATTACATAAAGTGCAAGCAAATACAGAAGGCGATTACTATAAATTAAACAAATTAAAAAAGGCAATGTCCAACGTTATAACATGGAGGCCATAGCGTGTTCAATTTCTGATGGCTCATTCATCAGTGGCGGCTCCTAATCGAAGGCCTGGTGGAAGAGCTCCGTTTTACAGGCCCTGCGGAACTGTGAAAGGTCTCGCAGGGCCCTGATGTCTTCCAGGAGCTCATTCCATCAGTGTGGAGCTGCCACTGAAAAGGCCCTGGCTCTGGTTATGGCCAGTCTTGTGTCTCTCGGACCAGGGAGAGTCAGGCGATTTTGTGACCCTGACCTCAGTGCTCTCTGGGAAACATATGGGGAAAGGTGGTCCCTCAGGTAGGCAGGTAATTTCAAGATGGCGTCATTGATCTAATCCTAAACCCCACTTCGGTCTGTGTTGCCACCTGGCAGGCGGGGTGAGAAGGAGGCCAAAGGAAAAAGAGGAGGGTGCCAGCCATGACGGAAACCGTTGCTGTCCTCAACCAAAGGCCTGGCGGAGCATCTCTGCCTTACAGGCCCTACGGAATTGCATTACGTCCCACAGGGCCCTGGTGGTATTTGGCAGAGAGCTCCACCGGGTCGGAGCCAGGGCTGAAAAAGCCCTGGCTCTGGTCGAGGACAGTCAGATATCTTTGGAACTAGGGATCACCAGTAGATTGTTGTCAGTGGACTGGAGCGTTCTCCCGGGGATGTACTGATTCAAGTTGTTTCCTCCCGCCTGTTGAACCAAGTTTAACAGACTTTATCGCTGCTCGAAAGCTGCAATCTTTGTTGAAAACTTTAAGCCTGTTGTATGATTTGATTGTTTGCAAGAGCATTACCCGTTTGTCTCTAGGCAAATAGTTATAAGCTTGTTAAACTGTCAGCTGGGTCATGGGCAGGTATTCATGAACTTTAAACTGGTTCGGCAAGTGAGTCTTCTTTTTAATCCACCTGTCTGACCTGCTGTAGAACTTTCACGTGTAAATCTTGTATACTGTTGTCTCTCTCTGCATTTTGTCCCAGGCATGCAGTTTGGATTTGTTGTTGGGTATTGTAACTCTGCAGGAAAGAGAATCTGGGAGGGAAAGGGTTAAGAGAATTCTCTCTCTGGGGTACACGTGGCAGTTGGCCCCGCCCTCTCGTCGGTTAGATGGTGAGCCTCTCTGGGCCTTGCTTGCCTTTCTGTTTTCATCTTCTATAGGGCCTCTCTTCTTCCCTCTCTTACCTGGGCTTAGAGCCGTAGAAAGTTAACCTTTTTGAAGCTAATCTGTTCACAATAAATTAGAACATAAGAACATAAGAGAAGTCAATGTCAGATCAGGCCAATGTCACACAGTGGCCAAAAAATACCAGGTGCCATCAGGAGGTCCAGCAGTGGGGCCAGGACACTAGAAGCCCTCCCACTGTGGTCCCCCCTCAAGCACCAAAAATACAGAGCATCCCTTGCCCCAGACTGAGAGTTCCTATCTGTACCTTGTGGCTAATAGCCACTGATGGACCTCTGCTCCATATGTTTATCCAATTCCCTCTTGAAGCCGTCCATGCTTGTAGCCGCCACCACCTCCTGTGGCAGTGAATTCCATGTGTTAATCACTCTTTGGGTGAAGAAGTACTTCCTTTTATTCGTTTCATTGAGTGCCCACAAGCAATGCTCCCTCTAAGCTGTGGGTCCTATGAGCAAAAATTCTACTTTGCGAGCTACTGGCATTAAAGTTGTGAGCAGGCGATTTGGCTACTGCATAAATTAGTTTGCTCTGGAGCCATCCTTTCTGAGCTAAGACAAAATGTGTGAGCCGGAGGCTAAAAAACTTTGAGCTAGCTCACACTAACTCAGCTTAGAGGGAACACTGCCCACGAGTTCTTGTATTGTATTGTGAGAAAGGGAGAAAAGTACTTCTTTCTCTACCTGCATAAGAACATAAGAGAAGCCAATGTTGGATCAGGTCAATGGCCCATTCAGTCCAACACTGTCACACAGTGGCCAAAAAATACCAGGTGCCATCAGGAGGTCCAGCAGTGGGGCCAGGACACTAGAAACCCTCCCACTGTTGCCCCCCCCCCCAAGCACCAAGAACACAGAGCATCCCTTGCCCCATACTGAGAGTTCCTATCTTTACCTTGTGGCTAATAGCCACTGATGGACCTCTGCACCATATGTTTATCCAATTCCCTCTTGAAGCCATCCATGCTTGTAGCCGCCACCACCTCCTGTGGCGGTGAATTCCATGTGTTAATCACTTAATTAAATGTACCTACGTGAATATGTCATGTCAGATGTGCTTCTATCTTTGTAAGTAAAATTTCTTTTTCTTGTTATCACTGGAGTCAGATCATCTTTGTAATTTATTTGAATAGCATTTTCCACTTGGCTGGGAACCGTGGAGGATCAGGGATACTGTGTAAAGCTTCTGTGCTTCCAAGGCAAATAATATATATATATATTTACATTTAATCCAATACTTATGTGGGGATGGCCTGGCACCCCAGACCTTCCTGATCAGACACAACTTTCCCCCTTGCCCAGCAAGGCTTCTTGTCACTGGAGAGTTGATTGGCTGGGCAGATTAAAATAACATTGTTTCAGTGGTGGTTGCTACCACAGTGTTAATTGGTGTACAGTCAGTTTGGTGTAGTGGTTAAGAGTGGCAGACTCTAATCTGGAGAAAAGGGTTTGATTCCCCACTTCTCCATATGCAACCAGCTGGGTGACCTTGGGTCAGTCACAATTCTCTCAGAGCTGTGCTCTCAAGGGCAGTTCTCTCAGAGGTCTCTCAGACCCACTTACCTCACAGGGTGTCTGTTGTGGGGAGGAGAAGGGAAAGGAAATTGTAAGTCACTCTGAGACTCCAAGTGAAGGGCGGGGTATAAATCCAATGTCCTCCTCCTTCTTGGGGTGTGGGGGGAATCCCATACCTACCTGAAGAAGAAAATTTTCAGGGATCTTCAAAACTTACATTTTTTTCCCTGTAGGAAAATTTGTTATGTGAGAGGTAGAAAAAAATATAGCTAGAAAATGGACACTACTAATTTTTGTAGTGACCAAAAGAAAATGTATTATTTGGACAGAAAGTCTCATACAGTTACAAGAGGACTAGCAGCATATTTGGATAGCAAGTTTAAAACCCTGGGATCTAATGGGATTATACACATAAGAAGAGCCCTGCTGGATCAGACCAGTGATCCATCTAGTCCAGCATCCTGTCTCACATTGTGGCCAGCTACTTTTTCTGGAGGGCCAGCAACAGGGCATAGAAGCCAAGGCCTTCTCCTAATGTTGCCTCTTGGCTCTGGGATTCAGGGCTTTAGTGCCTCTGAACATGGAGGTTCTTCTCAGTCACCATGGCTAGTAGCCATTGATAGACTTATCCTTCATGAATCTATCTAATCCCCCTTTAAGGCTGTTTATTCCTGTGGCCATCACTACATCCTCTGGCAGCGAATTCCACATTTTAATCACTCTCTGTGTAAAGCAGTATTTCCTTTTGTCTGTCCTGAACCTGCTGCCTCTCAGCTTCATTGGATGCCCTCAAGTTCCAGTGTTTTGGGGGAGGGAGAAAAATTTCTCTTTGTCAACCCCCTCAACTCCATGCATATTATACATTATAGCCTATTGATTGTACACAATTAAACCTGTGTAAATACAGTCTCTGAAAACACCTCACTCCTGCAGTACATACGAAATTGCTTTAACACTCTATATGAAGATTTTTAAAAATGTTTACAGCGAGTGAGTTTACAGCGAGTTTACAGCGAGTGAGTAAAATCTTGTTTCAAAAAATCTTTTCCCCATCCCAAAAGAGAAAAATACCAGCACTCCCTAAAGCTTCTAATTTCTCCACTGAAAAATTTGGAAAGGGTACTTGGGGCTAAAACTAAGATATATGTGCTACAGTAGCATAGTATATAGCATTTTGCAGGACTTTTTTTAGTGCTGGGGGAAAGGGACCACCTGGCTCAGTGGCAGAGCATCTGCTTTACATGCAGAAGGTCCCAGGTTCAGTCCTCAGAATCTCCAGTTAAAAGGATCCGGTAGTATGTGACGGGAAATACCTACGCCTGAGACTTTGGAGAGCCGCTCCCAGTCAGGGAGTAATCCATACTGACCTTGATATTATTATTATTATTATTATTATTTCATCACCCTATCCCTGCTTGTGCTGAGCTCTGGGCGGTATACAACAAAAAGGCATAGAACCATGAAAGAAGTATAATAAAGGTAAAGGTTTCTCTTGCTCAAAAGCCAGTCGGATCTGACTCTAGGGATGTGGTGCTCATCTCCCTTTCCAAGCCAGCGCTGTCTGAAGACATTTCCGTGATCACGTGGCCGGCATGACTAGATGCCGAGGCGCACGGAACGCTGTTACCTTCCCACTGAAGTGGTCCCTATTTATCTACTTGCAATTTCTTGCTTTCAAACTGCTAGGTTGGCAGGAACTGAGACCAGAGACGGGAGCTCACTCTGTCATGCGGCACTCGGGTCTCGAACTGCTGAAGTACCGACCTTCCATTCTGCAGTTCAGCGTCTTAACCACTTGAGCCAAGTATACAAAAGTATACAAAACATTAAAATTCCAATCATAACAAAATTAAAATAGGAAAGTTAAAAGAAGACCAGGTTAAAAAGAAGTCCAAGATGGCGCCCCTAGAAATTACATCCCGGTTCTGGACTGCCTGGCCACTTTCTGGGCAGGGAGAGAGGAAGCAGAAGATCGGGGGGGTGGGGGGTGGAGAGAAACGGATAGACCAGGGGTGTCAAACTAATTCGTCACGAGGGCCAGATCTGACATCAATGTCACTTTGTCGGGCCGTGCCACGTGTGCCCTGAAACATAATGCCAGGTCCTGGAGGTATACACTGTATAAAGGGCAGCAGCTGGTAAGCTCCGAGTTGGTGTATTCTCACTGCAAGGCCCCATGGGCTGGGAGGGGTGTGCAAAGGAAAACCCACACGGCAGCAGGCTGGAGAGGCAGAGGTGCAGCACTGGGCAGACACTCCCGCACTGCTTGACTGCTGCAGATGAGGTTGTTCCACTGTGCTGAAGCCACAAAGGCTCCATTGCACCAGTTGCTCGCGAGCTGCCTAAGAGCCCTGGATGGGCCGGTTCTGGCCCCCAGGCCCGATGTTTGACACCCCTGGGATAGACCAATCGCTTCACTCAGTAGAAGAACGCATCAAGTATTCACGGGAGTTTTGCAGTTTTCCTTGTAGAAAACAAAAGCATTTGTTCTTTTAAGTTTCATAAATATTCCAAATTAGTACAGTTTTATATGCTAAATGTGTTATAATTCATGGTGTTTATGTTGCTAAAGGGGTATAATTAATTGAGACTTAATGGGGGGAAAGGATTGCATATTTTGATCCCGCCCACCGAGTTTATTCCCTCCTGCTCCCCCCCCCAAAAAAAAGGATGGTGGGACCAGTAAGGTTTCCCCCCCTACATGTTAGAAATGCATGAAAATTAACATCTAGAGTGTAAACATTGAGTAGTAATACCATGTTTGAAGTACTGCTGATTCCAGTATAACAACCATTAAAGGCACAGACCCAGGTGTCTTTCTCTGCCTTACTGGAAAGCCTAAACTTGGTCTGTCTCTTGTAGAAATTGAAATTATTTGCATGTAGAAAACCAAGCAGTCAGAGAGCAGCATCCTGGCCTAGCTCTATCCGCCCCCCACCCCCGATCTTCTGCTTCCTCTTCCCCTGCCCAGAAAGGGGCCAGGCAGTCCTAGGGGTGCCATCTTGGACTTCTGTGTGCAGGGAATTTTGTTTGACCAACAGTCCATGTGATACTCCAACTTGTAGTCCTGACCTGTTACAGTTGGAGAAGAAGCAAAAATTTCCCACTTTCAGCTTTGGCTTTGGAAGGCGATAAAAATCAATGGTTCTTTGTAATACTTTAAGAAATATTTTTTTGGCCCTGTTAGACTGTGGTCCGTGCCTTGTATTTGGGTTCATAATTACTTGCGTTACAGGATTTCTGGCAGGAGGAATGATCGTACACCATCTCCATGGCTATAGATAGTAATTAATCGATAATGGTTAAAAGACAGGGGTTTTCTTTGTTTTTTAATAGACCTGGAAGTGATGGAGCCTTTAATTGAAGAAGGCGCGGAAGATGAGCAGCAAGACGAAGGTGAAGGCGTGGAAGAAGGTGAAGATAAGGAAAAGAAAACGTTGCTGCCCGCAGAAAAGAAATACCAGCTTGAGGAGGAAGAAGGCATTACGTAAGTACCATACTCCTCCTCGGAGACTTAAAAAAAAAAGAGCAATTTATTTCTTTTCTTTCCTATGGCTGCCGTAGATATGCACCATTGGTAAGGTTGCCAACCCCCAGGTGGAACCTGGAGCTCTCCTGCTGTTACATTTGATCTCCAGATGATGGCGCTCGGTTCCCCTTTGGAAGGTGGATTCTGTGGCATTGTACCCTGCTGAAGTCCCTCCCCTTCTCAAACCCCGCCCTCTTCCCAGACTCCACCCCTCAAATCTCCAGGTATTTCTCCACCCAGAGCTGGCAACACATTGTGGCAATTGTGCTTAGGCTATTTGCTTCTTAATGATGCAGTTTTTCCAGCTTACAGATGGTATTCTGTGGTCTCTGGTTTTCTTTCCCCCCCAGGTACATACAAACGCTCATTCACCTCCTCAAAGGGAACATTGGGACTGGACTTCTAGGCCTTCCACTTGCAATAAAAAATGCAGGCCTTGTGGTAAGTGCTAGCCAGTTCCTATAACAATAATATTTCTGGGGAAACTGTTTTGGGGGGGAAGGAGGAGGAGGAGGAGGAGGAGATCGGATTTATACCCCACCCTTCACTACCCGAAGGAGTCTCAGAGCGGCTTACAATCTCCTTTCCCTTCCCCTCCCCACAACAGACACCCTGTGAGGTAGGTGGGGCTGAGAGAACTGCTCTTGATAAAACAGCCCTGAGAGAACTGTGGCTTGCCCAAGGTCACCCAGCAGCTGCAAGTGGAGGAGTGGGGAATCAAACCTGGTTCTCCCAGATTAGAGTCCGTGCTCCTAACCACTGTACCAAGCTGGAGGAGCCACCTGCTTTGTGTTCTGAAAGTCCTAGGTTCAGTCCCTTCCATCTCCACTTAAAAGATCAAAAGCAGCAGAAGCTAACCACTGCCTGAGACCCTGGAGGAAGAGTTGCCTGGTTGGAATAGTGAAGGGAGGTAGACCAACAGCCTGACTCTGTGTAAGGCAGCTTGGGATATTGATTCAGATCTTGCCGTAGATGGATTCATGCTGGTAGTCCCCTTGGAGGTAAACTCACTTTCCCATGGCATTGGAGAATTCCCGCTGCCTGACCTATGTTGCATGGTTCTTGTGAAGGTTCAGAAAGTGTGTCTGTTGCAACCCATCCTTCTCCAGCCAGTTTGGTATAGTGGTTAAGAGTGGCAGACTCTAATCTGGAGAACTGGGTTTGATTCCCCACTCCTCCCCATGCAGCCAGCTGGGTGACCTTGGGTCAGTCACAGTTTTCTCAGAGCTTTTCTCTCCAGAGCAGTTCTCTCCGAGCTCTCTCAGCCCCACCTACCTCACAGGGTGTCTGTTGTGGTGAGAGGAAGGGAAGGTGATTGTAAGCATCTCTGAGACTCCTTCGAGTAGTGTAGGGCAGGGTATAAATCCAATCTCCTCCTCCTTCTCCTTCTTCTTCTCCTTCTCCTTTCTTTGAAATGTGGTGGGGAGGAAAATGAGACGTTCGCATGGGCACAGAGCTGCTCCTCTTCACAAGTTTCAGAAATGGCTCCTCACAGAGGCACACCCTAAGTGCTGCCTGCTGACCTCCCTTCCCCCTTCTGCATCTCCTGGTTGCTTGTCTTGAGGGGACAAAAACTCGTTCTTCAGAATGAGGGGATTAATACCAGCTAGAGCTCCTGTACAACTCTGCCGCTCCACCGCAACAGCTTTGCTCACCTGAGGTACCACCCTGCAAGTGGGCAAGATTGGCAGCTGCCCATTCGCATGCATTCTCAGTGATGACTCCCGCCTTGTGGAATGGCCTGCCTGGGAGGTCAGGAAGCCCCCCCCCCACTTTTTATCATTCCGCCAAATGTGTAAAGCCAAAATGTTCAAGGCGGCATTCTGGAAAAAGAGGTTGAACTGCAGTAGAATGAACAGCCCAAGGGAGGGCAGGTTTATGATGGAATAGCCCACTGCAACAACATCACCTACTTGTACTGAATTATTTTTGCCTTGTTATCCCCTTTCTGCATTATCTATAGTTTACCTGCCTTAGGTAGTTTGTTTGCATTGCGCCAGAATTCTGCAATCCAAATCCTACTGCACTGTACATTGGTTGCCTTATACTGTCAGATCACACCACTTTCCCCCCTGTAATCCGTGTTGAGACTCCGTGAGAAAGGTGGACTATAAACAAAGTATATGTGATCAGATTCCTTGCAGCATGGTAGAGGATGCTGAATTTTGTACACTAGCAGTGTAAGGAAACAAAATTCCAGATGTGGGGAGCCGGAATGGACAGAAGCAAGAACTCTATTCTAGTTTTGATTTTTAACCTCTTTTTGCATCAGGCTTTTCTGTCAAAGAGGCAATCCTTGCTTCCCTCTCTTTCGTTTGGCGTGCCAGGGCAAAGGGGAAACTGAGAAGTCCATATTGGCAGTTGGAATTGGGAGAACCTCTGATGGTAGCATCTCCCACAGCGGTGGTTTCTAACGCATATATAGCCTGCAGGTGCATCTGCTTGTAAGAAGAAGAGAAGAGATTGGATTTATACCCCGCCCTTCATTACTCGAAGGTGTCTCAGAGTGGCTTACAATCTCCTTTCCCTTCTCCTCCCTACAACAGACAACCTGTGAGGTAGGTGGGGCTGAGAGAGCTCTTTCCAGAACAGCTGTGAAAGAACTGTGACTGACCCAAGGTCACACCAGCAGCTGCATGTGGAGCAGTGGGGAATCAAACCCGGTTCTCCCAAGTTAGAGTCAGCGCTCCTAACCACTACACCAGACTGAAAGAGTCGGTGTGCCAGGGAACCAGTGGCTGGGTAAACATGTGACTTCAATCACCTGTTCAGCTGTATGTGCATTGAATGTAACGTGAGAATTACTCAATACAGGTATAAAGAAGAATCAGGTGTACACTGTATATAGGTTGCACGTGTGTGCTCTGTAACTTGTGAGTGGAGCTAGAGTCTTGCTGGTGACATTTCGGAGCAAAGATCTGGAGATCAACCTTGCTGGCTCTTCTGATCTGGATGTGCACTTCTTTCTGAGCACAATAAGCGCTAGAAACTTGCATGCTCTGTTGAAAGTGGGGGCTCCCGCAAAGCGCAAAATATCAAATTTCAAATTCAGTATCAAATTCTTTCCCTCCCTCCTCCATTGCTATTGAGTTTCGGGTGCAATATAAGCAAAGAGTACTCTGTAAGGTTTTTAGATACTAATTTGGTATATCTTTTTAAAAATGCCTTCCCCATACAGCTTGGACCAATCAGCCTCGTGATCATTGGGATGGTGTCTGTTCACTGCATGCACATCCTGGTTCGGTGCAGTCATAATCTATGTCAAAGGTAAGCGGCGGTGGAGAACCGAACTCATTTTCTTCCAGACTTTAGTGAGAGATTCCCCCGCTTTCCCTCTCATCTCGGATGCATGCTTGTGAGCTTGTGACTGGGGTCTTGTCTGTTTTTCCCTTTGGAGTTTTACCTGATCTCGGGAAGAGGCTTTTATCTGCTCTTAAGTTTCCCCACAAAGAAAGGCTGAAGGAGCTGGGTATGTTTAGCCTGGAGAGGAGACAACTGAGAGGTGATACGATAACCATCTTCATGTACTTGAAGGGCTGTCATAGAGAGGATGGTACGGAGTTGTTTTCTGTTGCCCCAGAAGGTCGGACCAGAGCCAACAGGTTGAAATTAAATCAGAAGAATTTTTTGGCGAAAGATTAGGAAGAACTTCCTGACAGTTAGAGCGGTCCCTCAGTAGAACAGGCTTCCTCGGGAGGTGTTGGGCTCTCCTTCTTTGGAGGTTTTTAAACAGAGGCTAGATGGCCATCTGACAGCAATGCTGATAGTGTGAACTGAGGCAGATCATGAGAGGGAGGGCAGGGAGGGTTGTATCAGTGCTTAGTTCTTGTGGCCCTTTCTTACATGCCCAGGGAAATGCTGACTGCCACTTTGGGGTGAGGAAGCAGTTTTTCTCCAGACCAGTTTGGCTGGAGATCCTGGAGGTTTTTTTGTCATCTTCTGGGTGTGGAATAGGGGTCACCAGGGTGTGTGGAGGGGGAGGTATTTGTGAATTTCCTGCATTGTGAAGGGGGTTGGACTAGATGACCCTGAGGTACCTTCCAACTCTATGATTCTATGATGGTGTCTTGTGTATGGCTTGCTTCCCCCAATGTATATGGCCCTGTTTGAGTTGCTTAATTTGAAATGCATCGACGCCTACCCCGTCTTGCTTGCCAATTGTGAGTGCGTTTTCGTAAGCGAGGCACAGTCCCCTTTTAGCAAAATTCCATTTTGGTCAGTAACTCTCAATGAGGAAATGCTTACTCTTCCCCTCTTCCTTTCTTTTGTTTTCCCCTTCCCCTTTTAGGTTGAAAAAGACTTCCTTAGGGTACAGTGACACAGTGAGCTATGCAATTGAATTGGGTCCCTTTGACAGCTTCCAGAAGAGAGCCGCTTGGGGAAGGTAAGCACCTCTTCAGAGAGCCAGTTTGGTGTAGTGGTTAGGAGCGCAGACTCTAATTTGGGAGAACCGGGTTTGATTTCCCACTCCTCCGCGTGCAGCTGCTGGTGTGACCTTGGGTCAGTCACAAGTTCTCTCAGAGCTGTTCTCTCAAGTGCAGCCCTGGAAAGAGCTCTCTCAGCCCCACCTACCTCACAGAGTGCCTTTTGTGGGGAGGGGAAGGGAAAGGAGATTGTAAGCCGCTCTGAGACTCCTTCAGGTAGTGAAGGGCAGGGTATAAATCCAGTCTCCTCCTCCTCTTCCTTCATTACCTTTGTTTTTATTCATTCAATTTATATCCTGCTCCTTTCCCCATCAAGCAGGGCTTCAGGGTGGCTTCCAACAATTAAATATACAGTAAAATCAGTATTACAGTTTAAAAATCCAGAATTCCAAATTGAAACCTAAACCATCAATTACTACATTTAGAGAATTGACATGATGGGTTGCCAGTTTAAAAGAAAGTATGTGAGCGTAATGCTGCCAGACACTCCGGGAAAAAGAAAAAACCTGCAACTTTGCACGATCAGGGCCAAATCAAATGCAGACTTCTTATTCCCATTCGTAAAGTCAGACTGCGGCAGACTTTGCCCAGCAGTGAATACAGAGGATGCCACAATAATGTGGGGTTGCCTCTGTGGAATAGGTCCCATTTGGATGGTAATAAAACTGGCTTCCCAGTAGTACACGGGCTGCATGTCTAACAGTGTAATCCTAAATAGAGTTACGCCATCTAAGTCCACTGAGGTCAATGGGCTTTGGAAGGTGTAACTCTGCTTAGGACTGCTTTGTTGGGGACGGTACCTGTTGTGACCCCGCCCCCAAGTTCCAAAGCTGTTTTATGAACGGTGACAGACTAAATATACCGGAGGCACTGCCCTGACCCGGATGGCCCAGGCTAGACTGATCTCATCAGTGCCTGAAAAGCTAAGCAGGGTTGGCTCTGGTTAGTAGTTAGATGGGAGACCACTAAGGAAGTCCAGGGTTGCTACGCAGAGGCGGGCAATGGCAAGCCGCCTCTGTTTGTCTCTCGCCTCGAAAACCCTCTGGTGTTGCCAAAAGTCAGCTGCAACTTGACAGCATTTTCCACTCCCACAAACTTTTATATCACCTGTGCTGGATGCTGGGCACAGTTTGCATTCTGAGTTTATGAACTCTAAGGTGAAGTTTGTGTTTTCCCCCCCATGCCAACAACGTGGTTACAATTCAACCATGCAATACCAAAGATACATAATAAAACAGTCTCAAAACACTTGACTATGTGAGCACTTCCGAAAATAAATCTGAACTATCAGAACAGAAAAAACACCTCTTTTGTGCATGGGCACTGAATAGTATCTTCGTTTTTAGCAGTATAATCAATTACAGGAAACCACAGTTCCACAAAATGTGAGTTCTCTGGAGAGTCAATTTTATCCATTATATAAATGTCCCATACCTTATTATACCAAGCAGAAACTGTTGGTACCTTTGGGTTTTTCAAAGAAGAAGCAATTGCCATTCGACCTACTGCACATAACATTGCTATTAAGTCTTAATTGCAGGTATCATTTTATCCAGCCAAACATTAAGTAGCATTATCTCAGGTCTAAAAGGAATTAGGCAGCCAGTTACCACTGTTATCCTAGTTCTAACGTACAGAGCAATGCAATGTGCCAAAGGCAGTTGGCATGATAGTTATTTAATGGAGTTTTGACATTGTTGTTGGACGAAATAACTTTGTCATCTCTCTTGGAAAAGATAGCTGGAGATTCAGTCGCTTTCACTTAGCACAAGCAGACAGTGAGGAGAGCAAGAGTCCAGCCGCACCTTAAAGACGAACAAAATTTGTGGCAAGGGATGTGCTTTCGTGAGTCACTGCTCACTTCTTCAGATCTCGCTAGAAGGAGTGAGCAGTGAAGAAGTGAGCAGTGACTCACGAAAGCACATCCCTTGCCACAAATTTTGTTCGTCTTTAAGGTGCGACTGGACTTTTCTCTTTTCTACTGCTATAGACAGACTAACATGGCTACCCATCTTGGTCTTAGACAGTGAGGAGTAATTTTAGCCCTTCTGCAAAAACTCTCCGTGCGTGGAAATCTCCTCTGGGATCCAGCTCCCTGAGTTACCACAAGATGCCTGGTGATGCAGTTGCTGTCCCCTTAAGGAAGTACATTGTTTGTGGTGACATGCATGTGCTTTTTTGGGGGAGGGGGGAATGTTTAAAGTCTTTTGCATGCTTCGGAGCTCATCCTTTGAGGATGTGCTCTGGAAGTGATACCAATAGACGTGTGAACTTGACTAGTGACTGCATTGGTCACCTCGTTTCTTCTGGCTTGCAGATCTCTGTCTGAAATATTCTTCTGCTTGAGGGGTGTGTGACCATGGAGAGGCCATCACTCTTGCCCCCAAAGAATTCAGTGGTGGTGGTGAAGAAAAGTAGCATCAAGTTATAGCTGACTTATGGTGACCCAATAGGGTTTTCATTTTATTTTTATTCCTTTTATTTTTATTTTATTGCATTTATAGCCCACCCTCCCCGCAAGCGGGCTCAGGGCGGCTCACATTACTTGGCCCCCAACGTGCCAAAATTCATATAACAATTAAAACATTTAAAACATCCAACATTTAGTTGGAAACAAGACAAGGTACTTGAAAATTGAGGAATGGATAAAGAAATTGCTTTTTATGGTTGAAATGGACAAAATGACAAGAAAATTTAAACATTTGGAGGCTGAAGAATTTTTTTGAAGATTGGAAGGACTTTAAAGAATATCTAGAGAAATATTGGGACTTAAAGAACAATTTATTTTGCTTTGATAATTATTGAAAATTAGTAGATAAATATATAAGTACAACAGCTGAAAGATAAGTTACCGGTAGATGTATAAAGAAACAGAGAGGTTAGAAGTAACTCTAAGGATAGAGCTGGAGGTTGGAGCACTGTGGGAAGCCATAAGGGGGGGGGGGGAGAAAGGAGAAAAAGGATGTATAACAATATAATTTGTGATATATGTGTGATTTTTATTAAAAAAACATCCAACATTTAAAACCATTTAACAATCGACAATTGCAAGAAAGTGCAATGATAGTTATTAAAACAAGATGGCATGCTTTAAAATGCAGGGCAAAATTCATGGCAAGAGATGTTCGGAGGTGGTTTAAGAACATGAGAGATCATAACATATTGGATCTGGCCAATGGCCCATCCAGTCTAACAGTCTGTACCACACAGTGGCCAAAAATACCAGATGCCATCAGGAGGTCCAGCAGTGGGGCCAGGACACTAGAAGCCCTCCCACTGTTGCCCCCCCAAGCACCAAGAATACAGAGCATCACTGCCCCCAACAATAGCCACTGATGGACCTCTGCTCCATATGTTTATCCAATCCCCTCTTGAAGCCATCTACCCTTGTAGCCACCCCCACTTCTGTTTGCCATTGCCTGCCTCTGCATAGCAACCCTGGACTTACATGGTCCAAGTACTAACCAGGGCTGACCCTGCTTAGCTCCCAAGATCCGACGAGAACAGGCTAGCCTGGGCGATCCACGCCAGGGCAGGATTCAACACTCTTTTCAAAGCCTTTGTTTCTTTTCATTCCGGCTGTTGTCAAAGTGATCTCCTTCCACTCCTCTTGAGCATCTTGAGCTTCTTTGAGTGCAGAGCCTTGGGCTCCGACTTGGATTTCTGAATAGTGCCTCCTTAACATAGAAGTACTCACAGAGCCACTCCGTTGACCTTGCAGGAATAGCGTCATTGACTTGCAGACGACTTCAGTGCATTTGATTTTTGTCACAGTGCCAGCTGCCTCTCTACAAAGCACGCATCTCTTAACCTTTAGTTGGTTTTTCTTTTCCTCTTAGGTGCATCGTTGACTTCTTCCTGGTGATTACACAGCTGGGCTTCTGCAGCGTCTATATAGTATTTTTAGCAGAAAATATGAAGCATGTAAGTAGCACTGGAGATGAAAATTCTGGGGGAAGGGGGGGTGTTCTTACATTTAATCCCATTTCTGAATTATGTCTATTTTTTAAAAATAAACTTGAATGTGTCCCTTCAGCTGTTGACCCTCTTGTGAGCTTCAGACCAGACTGCTACAGTGTAATGCATCCAGGGCTGCCCTTGATAGCAGTTCGTTTTGTGCTGGCTGAAGAGTCTGTAGTGGGCTACATCCTGACAGTGCTGAGTCGCTGGGAGCAAATGATGCTCTGGCAGGTTGTATTAGCTCCCTGATCTACTACTAGCTGTGGAGACTGAGGGGAACCTCCACACTCAGTGGCAGTAATTCTCTGAATCCCAGAGCCAGGAGGCAACGTCAGAGGAAGGCCTTAGCTTCTATGCCAGTTTGGTGTAGTGGTTAAGAGCGGTGGACCCTAATCTGGAGAACTGGGTTTGATTCCCTGATCCTCTACATGCAGCCAGCTGGGTGACCTTGGGTCAGTCACAGTTCTCTCAGAGCTGTTTTCTCAAGAGCATTTCTCTCAGAGCTCTCTCAGCCCCACTGACCTCACTGGGTGTCTGGTGTGGGGGGAGGAAGGGAAGGCGCTCTGAGGCTCCGAGTGAAGGGTGGGGTATAAATCCAATCTCTTCTTCTATGCTCTGTTGTTGACTGTCCAGAGGAGCTGGTTGGCCACCGTGTGAGACAGGATGCTGGACTAGATGGACTATTTGTCTGGTCCAGCAGGGTTTTTCTTACGCTCTTATGTACTTATGATCTCCTCCAGCACAAGTCACGGTGGTGGTTTTAATGCATTCCCACTGATTCATCACACTGTAGAACCTTAACTGGCATAAGCCTTCCCATGCATGGGTAGGAAAGATCATCTGAAGGTGTCCTAATGATCTTTGTAGAATTTGGAAGTTAAAAATCTCCCAATGTTAAGAAATGTAAACAAAGTTTACATATGCAGGTTTAAGATTTAGCTGTGAACCTACAGGGAAAAAAAATAATCTGTCAACCTTACACATTCTGCAAACCTTCCCAAATGTCTGCCAGTACAACTTTCCTAACAATATTGAACACGAGCATCACTTAGAAGTAAGAAGTCAAAGTAACATCTGCCTCAGGTCCCTTCATCCCCACCCGCTGTTAACAAAGTTTGTCCATTAGTGAAATACCTAATGAGCCAGTTTGGTGTAGTGGTTAAGTGTGCGGACTCTAATCTGGGAGAACCAGGTTTGATTCCCCACTCCTTCACTTGCACCTGGCTGGATGACCTTGCGCAAGCCATAACTCTGGCACAGCTGTTCTTGAAAAAGAGCAGTTTCTGTCAAGAGTTCTCTCAGCCCCACCTACCTCACAGGGTGCCTGTTGTGGGGAGGGGAAGGGAAAGGAGTTTGTAAGCCGCTCTGAGACACCTTTGTGTAGTGAAGGGAGGGGTATAAATCCAATCTCTTCTCTTCTTCTTCAAATGTGCATAGTTTTGATTCTTTTTTTGGGGGAAGGGGAGGCATACTTAGAAGAAGAAGAAGAAATTGCATTTATACCCCACCCTTCACTCAGAGTCTCAGAGCGGCTTACAGCCTCCTTTCCCTTCTCCTCCCCACAACAGACACCCTGTGAGGTAGGTGAGGCTGAGAGAGCTCTTAGAGAACTGCTCTTGAGAGAACAGCTCTGGGAGAACTTGTGACTGACCCAAGGCCACACCAGCAGCTACCTGTGGAGGAGTGGGGAACCAAATCTGGTTCTCCCAGAATAGAGTCCACGCTCCTAACCACTACACAAAACCCCACCTGAAATCCATTTTCTTTTTGTAGGACAAACTTTTGATAAAACAAGCAGATCATCAATGGATAACAATATGACAGCAAAGAATCAGGTTTCCCCCCCAAACACGTGTGAAGAATTTTAAAATCAAGTGTCCTTTTACTGACACTGGGCGTTGCTGCATTCACACACCAAGAGCATAAAGAGAGGGCTTCTTGGTGGCGGCTCCTCCTCCTCCCTCTATTTTCATGGAAGTGTAGGCTACATAAATAAGAGTGTTGTATAGTGGTTAGAGTGTCTGACTAGGATCTGGGAGATCAAGGTTCAGTTGCTCCCTTTGCCCTGGAAGCTCACTGGGTGATCTTGGGCCAGTCATTGATGTAGTGGTTAAGTGCACAGACTCTAATCTGGGAGAACCTGGTTTGATTCCCCACTCCTCCACTTGCAGCTGCCGGATGACCTTGGGCAAGCCATAGTTCTGACAAGAGCTGTTCTCTCGAGCAGTTTCTCTCAGAGCTCTCTCAGCCCCACCTACCTCACAGGGTGTCTGTTGTGGGGAGGGGAAGGGAAAGGAGTTTGTAAGCTGCTCTGAGACTCCCAGTGAAGGGTGGGGTATAAATCCAATCTCCTCCTCCTCCTCCTCATTCTCTCTCACCTTCAGCTACCTCACACGGTTGTTGTCAGGATCAAACTGGGAGCAGAGTGATCTTTCCCAAAAGGTTGTATCAAACCAGGTTTGGCGAAGATCGCATCAAAGCAGGGGAAAACTTAGGAAGGGGGTGACGGAGATACAGTGTGGTGTGGCGGTAATCTAAATTATGCCACTTTAGAGAGGGCCTCTGGAAGGAAGGAACTTGTTGCGCTATAGTTTTCTCTTTGCTTGTGGAAGACCGGTGCCATTCAATAAACTGGCTTGTAATGTGACGTCCTGACAAACCGCAGTGTACCCTTCTACACATCCGAGGTCTGACTCACAAAACCTCATGCTGAAATAAAATTTGTAAACCTTTGCCACAGTTAATACGAACAGTGATTTAACAAACCAGCTGTGAACCCCAGCTTGAAATCCGGGCTTGGTACCAACCGGCTCTGGTTTGAACCGTCTGCATTCGTTTGTTGCAACGGCATAGGATTTGATTGAACTGTGGTCGGTCGCACTATCTTAACACAATCCCAGAGTTAAACGCTGCAGGAGAGAGTACAGAATCCTGTGTGTGTTTGCACAGATGTCAATCCCACCGAGTTCAACGGGATTTGACCAGTGGGTCTGCAGAGAACTACAGCCTTACCTGTTGGTGGCTTGGCGTATTGGCTTAATGATTTGATGCGCATCAGTGGCTCTTTTAAGGCAGCCAGCGCATACCGCCCTAGGCGTATTCCATTTCAGGATACTCTTCACGGAACTGGGATTCCAGCTTAATTGTACAGACTGCCCTGTAGGGGGCACCAAAGGGACAGCTATTGGTATTTATTGTCCCTGTAATGGTACTTCTGAAATGGGGGGGGGGGGGGGGGAAGATCTCTATTGTAGTTGACAAGTGGGCGCTTCAAAAGTACCGATGGTAATAAGTTATAAATCGCTGCTCGGCTTGCGTTCTTCCCTCCTAACCTCTCCTCACAATGTAACCCTCCCTCCATCTTGTGCTCCCGTGCATGAAGAGAATCAGAGATGCTTCCTGCCACAGTCTTAGAGCCAAACCAGATGTGACGGCATCCTCATGGCTGCCACGAAGATGCTGCCGCCATTTAAAAAGCCTTTAAGAATGCTGTGGAGGCTGAAGTGCACTTACCTCTCCCCTCCCTCACCATATCTTATCAAGTGCCAAAATGCCCCCCCGCCCCCCCCCATGCCCTCAATGGAGATTTTAAATTTGGGGTTTTTTAAAAAAATGTATTTTATCTGCATTCTAAGCTGCCTTGAGTTCCTTAAGATAGAAAGGCAAGCTAATAAATGTTTTGAATAAATAAGTACAAATGTGTTTTAACTCCCTGTTTTTAAAGACTTGGGTCCAAAGAACTGCATGGGAGGGGCTACAACAAATTTAGAGTCCAGTGACTCTAGAGTCCAATGACAAATTTAGAGTCCAACGATAAAGCGGGCGTGCGCGCGAACGCTCATCCCTTGAATAAACCTTTGTTGGTCTTAAAGGTGCCGCTGGACTCTAAATTTGTTGTGCTGCTTCAGACCAACACGGCTGACGAACTGGATCTATCTACATGTGGGGGCGGGGGGGTTTGCTTCTCTTCCTTCTTGAGGTTCAGGGGACCCCTGAATGGTGTGCAGTGCAGGGGACCGTGTGGAACAGAATCGGACCCCCCCCCCCCCGGTTGTATAAGCAAAAGCGCCTTGTGCTAAAAACCATTGTTTTAGAGCTGGGGTTGAACACATGAACCCATGAAGCTGCCTTATACCGAATCAGACCCTTGGGCCATCAAGGTCAGTATTGTCTGCTCAGACCGGCAGCAGCTCTCCAGGGTCTCAGGCAGAAGAGGTCTTCCACTTCACCTCCTGCCTGGTCCTTTTCAGTGGAGGTGCCAGGGATCGAACCTGGGACCTTCTGCATGCCAAGCAGATTCTCTGCTACTGAGCCATGGCCCCTCTATTGTTGTCTATATTAATATTAATGTTGGTGTAGTGGCTAGTGTCCCAGGCTAGATTAATCTGGGAGGCCTGGGTTCAGATCACCGCTTTGCCTTGGAAGCTTGCCGCATGACCTTGGGCCTGCCTCGCTTACTCAGCCTCGCCTGTTGTGAGCCTCAGCTGGGGAGTGAAGAACGTGTATGCTGCTCTGAGCCTTCTTGGAGGAAGGGTGGGTTAGAAACCGGGATGAGTCATGTCTGTTTGAAGCGAACCACCTTGGAAGCTTCCCCCAGTGAATAAGGGTCTACATCACAGTCATATGCCTGAAGTTTTGAGCCTTAGCAACTTAGTAGCTGCTGTACCTACTAGTGTTTTCCATTGAGGGTATGGGAAAGGTGTTTCCCCATTCACACACAGTCAGATGATGATGATGAAGAAGAGGAGGAGGAGGAGGAGACTGGATTTATATCCCGCCCTTCACTTGGAGTCTCAGAGCAGCTTACAAACTCCTTCCCCTTCCCCTCCCCACAACAGGCCCCCCCATGACGTAGGTGGGGCTGAGAGAGCTCTTGAGAGAACAGCGCTTGTCAGAACTATGGCTTGCCCAAGGTCATCCAGCAGGTGCAAGTGGAGGCATGGGGAATCAAACCCGGTTCTCCC